GGATGAATCGAACAATCATAAATATGGTTCGCTCTTTACTTTTTCAAGCAAACTTGCCTAGTGAATTTTGGGTGGAAGCTCTTTATGTAGCTATTCACTTAATTAATATTTTACCTTGCTCTAAGCTACATTTTTCCACACCTCATGAGGTTTTATTTGGCACAGTGCCCTCCTATGATCATTTACGACCTTTTGGTTGTGCTTGTTATCCTAACTTGTCTGCCACTGCTGCCCACAAATTGGCTCCCCGTTCCTCTTTATGCATCCTTTTGGGATATCCTAGTCACCATAAAGGGTATCGATGTCTTGACTTAAAAACCCAGAAAATTATTTTATCTAGACATGTTACCTTTAATGAAACTGAATTTCCCTACTCTCCTTCTGTGCCATCCCATTCTCCCTCATTTTTCCGGACCCCCTTTCATTTACTGGACAATACCTCTCCTAGCCCAGCCATGCCACCTACTTATCCCAACTTTCCTAGCCCAGCCATGCCTTCCACTGGCCCAACTTGCCCCAGCCCACTCTCTCCTGGCCCACCTTTACACCAAACTACCACACCCACCAGCCCCACACCTATCGCACCCACCATCCTTTTCCCGATTTCTGCCTCCGTCGTTCCCAGTCCTGTGCCGCCACCTGCCGTCTCCTCGTCCCTATTTCTGCCATATCTGCATTCCCCATCACCATCCTACGGTGCTGCGCCTCTTGCTTCTGCCCGATCTGGGTCTGCACTTGATGCTTCTCTCTCCGCTGCTTCCATTGGTGATTGCACTGGTTCTGATGATTGCTCTGTTTCGGCTCCTGCTGTTGCCCCGTCTTCTTCCGTTCCCTCTGCTTCCTCGGCTCCTGTTCCTCAACGCACCCATAGCATGGTGACTCGTTCACAAGCCGGTGTTAGGAAGCCCAAGATCTTGCCATCTCTGCTTCATACATCTACTGATTTGCAGGAACCCAGGACTTTTAAACAAGCTTGTAATCTTCCAGAGTGGCAACGGGCTATGCAAGAGGAATTTCTGGCTCTACAGCGCAATCACACTTGGGTTTTAGTTTCTCCTCCATTCGGTGCTAATATTGTGGGATCCAAATGGGTATATCGTATTAAACACCGAGCTGATGGCAGTATTGAGCGTTATAAGGCTCGCCTTGTCGCGCAAGGGTATACACAGCAGCTTGGGATTGATTATGATGAGACTTTCAGTCCAGTAGTCAAGCCCGTTACCATCCGCACGGTTCTTACACTTGCTATTTCCAAGTCTTGGCCAATTCATCAACTTGATGTCAAGAATGCCTTTCTCAATGGGTATTTATCTGAGCCTGCTTATATGTCTCAACCACCTGGCTTTGTTGATCCGCAGTATCCCGATCGTGTTTGCCTTCTCCAACGAGCCCTTTATGGTTTGAAACAGGCTCCTCGTGCCTGGTTCCAGAGGTTTGCTGCTTTTCTTCATTCCTGTGGCTTTGTTCAGGCATAATTTGATTGCTCTATGTTTTTATATCGCTCAAATGGTATGCTGGCAATTCTGCTCTTGTATGTTGATGATATTATTCTCACTGCTTCTACACCGTCCCTTTTGCATCGAATCATCTCTTCATTGAAGCAGGAATTTTTTATGACAGATTTGGGTGTTATTAATTATTTTTTGGATATTATAGCATCTTTTAACCCTGATGGTGTTTTTCTCTGTCAAACTAAGTATATATTTGATTTGTTGGCTCGCACTGGAATGTCTGATTGTAATGCTGCTGCTACTCCTCTGTCACCAAGGCAAAAATTGGCTGCTTGTGATAGTTCTCCTTATTTGGATTCCACTCAGTACCGTAGTATAGTGGGTGCCTTACAATACCTGACATTTACTCGTCCTGATATTGCTTTTGCGGTTCATCAAGTTTGCCAATATATGCATGCTCTGACTCATAATCATTTTCAGGCAGTAAAACGGATACTTCGGTATTTGAAGGGTACTGCTCATTATGGTCTCCAGTCATTTAAGGAATTCTCCCCTTCGTTGCATATTTATACTGATGCTGATTGGGCTGGTTGTTTGGAAAGTCGGCGTTCTACTTCCGGCTACTGCTTGTTTTTTGGCAAATCCCTCATCTCTTGGTCTTCTAAAAAGCA